TTTCATTGTAATTTCAATTTTTTGCTTAATAAAATTGTTTTTTAGCTAATCTTTTCAATTTTTTCACAGATTTTTTCAGGGATTTCAAATCAATTTATATCATATTAGACAATGGAAGTCCGAACTAATGAAATGCACCACGAAACATTGTCATCCACCTTCAAACAAAATATAAAAATTTCCTTCCTATTGTCACGCAATCAGAAGTGGATGTACCCAAAACGATCGAACCATCCTACGTCTTCTCCTTCTCCTCAAAATAAGAAATAGTAATGCTTCTTCTTCGAAATCCACATTGAAACTGGCACTAAACTCTGACACCACAAAATATAGATGTCAGTTGCCTCAACTGCAAGAGCGGTTAATATGACTGCAAGTCGACCACAAAATGTGGTTGGGTCAGCCGCGAAGTGTAGTCAACGTGGCCACAATGTTGTGGTTGCCTCAACTGCAAATATGTGGTCCGTGTACGGCCGGGCTTACAGTTGCCAAAAATTCAGAGTTATTCTTGCTGGTTATGAAACTGTCACTCAAATTATTGTCACTTGGAATTTGTCGATTACTTATGATACGTATCAAATTGATTTTTTTCAAACACTGCAATTCTTGCTCAACTTCATGGTTGGTTGCCATGTTGCCTGCCTGGATGATGTCTTTAAATCCTTAGTCTATTGGGGTAAAATAGACAAATTTGATAGGATAATTTTTTTGGCAAAAAATTTTCAAGATAATTATCTTGATAATTATCAATGATAATTATCAATCCGAACCCTGGTTTATACCTGTAAACTCTGATGTATATATACAAAGGGGTGTCTGACGCTGTGTTTTCGAATCAAGATCAGATACTTTTGAAGTTTGGCCTTCACAGTATATTTTATCAAGTGATTATTTCCATCTCTCCATGCGAATTTGAATGGATCGATATAGTTGAGACACTCTGTGACAAAAGAATAATTCCAATGCCAATCCTCCCTCCCCCACATACAATTTAGTTGAGTCATCTACTTGCGGCTTGCACAACGAATACATCTACTTTCTATCACATTAGTTGCTAACCACATTATTTTTCTCTAGTAAAACCCCCATTATAGCCTCCAAACGTTGATCGTATCATCCAGAGACATTTGCAGGTTATTAAGCTATTCAAAAACGTTTGATATCGAAGAAAAAAATGCAAGCTAGCAGTATGAGAAATAGAAACTGTGTAAATAACAATGCAACTCCTAAGATCTGTGGGGACACAAAGTAGTTCCAACACTGTTACTTGTGCCAGAGAGCTAAGAGAACCTAAGAAAACAAAATAGGAAATAATGATTGTACGTCAACAGCAACACTTAAATGGAATCATCACAATCGAAGCCGAAGTTCAAGGAAAAGGGTTGAAAGCCCAAGTTTCTCGAAGTGGGTTTAGAGCCCAGATTTATTGAGAAGGATTAAGAACTCATGTTCCTTCCTTTCTGTTTTCTGTTTTCTTAGTATTTATGTATTTCTATGGCTTCTACATACATTCTTGTTGAATAATGATTCGACGTTGCTAGCCTCTCAGTATTTTCGAACAGGATCTTGTGTTTCCCGTTGGACAATGCATGTTTAGCGACTGCAGACTTCTTGGTCTGTTCCAATCGACAACTCTGCTTGTATTCGACTAGGCGGATACCTTTTCGCTTGATCTTATCGATCATTAGTGTGGTGTCATGATTGATTTCATCAAAATGTGAACTTTCGTTCACTTTTATTTCCGTCGAATTCATGATGTGAAATGAATCAGTATGAGTTGCCATTCACTGATTTTCTATTTTGATAATATTTCGGAACTGACCTTTGATTGAATGAGAGTTCATGGAGATCATCTCCTACTGACAGAAAAATATGTCATGATGACTGGTTTTGGCCATCTCCAGATGATGGTCTCTTGTTTAACGAAACGCCCATTCAAATATAGTTTTTTTGTTCTAGTGTACAGATTCATCGCCAGAGGATTCGATTCTATCGAGTGTAATGTCCTGTATAACGGAACTATTTTCGAAAAAAAAAAACGAAAAATCAATTAGGGGGAAATCCCCTAGTGGCGTATAACTAAGGTTTTCAGAAAATAAAATTGAAACTACTTCGAGAAATGTAACTTTATTTATATATTAGTCAAGTCAACCAATTATAAAATAAAATCAATTGACAAAAATACAACTTTTGCTGAAATATATTTGGGAACTTCAATTGAGCTTTGGTAAAAAAAATTGAGATCCGGCGTTTGCTCTCATCCACATGTCGCATCGTTGGTTATGAGCATCAATGAATGGCTTCAAGAATGTTCTGTTCAGTGGGTGGTGTATGGTGATGAGCTCATCACAAGAACGTTGTTTTCTCGGCAAAAATTGATAACCGCCATTGTCTTGTGGCTGCAATGTCCATCCAGTAGGAGCAGCACATCTTTTATCGAGTGTGAGAATTCAACGAATATCTGCAACCATTGTACAAAAAAATCACAGTTTATCCAGCCGTTTGGATGAATCACGCCAACTCTTTCGACTGGAGCATTGATCATGAGCCGATCATTGATTTTTTGCCTAGGAAAGGCAAAATAGGGGCCGTTGGCACTCATAAGAAACGAAACTGTTATATTTTATCGATGTTTTATCATGTAGAGTGCTTTTTGGGATATTGTAGCGTAGTGAAGCTTCCTCAAACTCACTCATTTCTTTGAATAAAACTTTATCTATCGCAGTTTGTAAACTCTTTTGGTCTCATTTTCCTTTCTTTTTCGTCTCTTCCATTTCGATTTATTTCCGTTCTTCTATTCTCTAAAACAACTTGTAATAATTATAATAATAAATATAAATGCTTAGTAGAAGAAACAACTTGTAAACTGTCCGGTGTTGAGGGACATCTTTATGTCCGGTAATAAGGGACACAGGATCCCCAAAATTATGTGTTTTATACTAAAACTATTCAGAAAATCAATGAAAACTTTCAATGTTGATGAATTATAAGGGTACAACATCTTTGTTGGCGATCAAAAGAAATACTCAAACACAAAACTATAGCAGTACTACTTACTTAAAATTTATGCGACGCAGTACTTTTCTCTCCAAAAACAGCAATCAATTCCCCGCGCCCCTCTCATCGATTTTTGAACCGAACGCATTGTGACTTGTCGGGATAGCGCGAGTGTCCGGCGCTACGTGCCGTCCGGCGATAGGGGACTTCCAACTACAATTAATTTAAATGATGAAGTGAAAATAAAACGAATACAACTATTGTATGCATTTGGAAATGTCCTTGTAGTACCAACCTGCAGTAACATCAGTTACAAATACAATATTCCACCACGTAGTAACGACTACATCCTCCAATTTAATTGATTCAATGTTGACTCATCTCGGCATTTTCTATAAATCAAATGAAATTATTCCTCTGTAATTTTTATTCACCTTCCCATTTATGTGTTTCATATCTGTAATTTGGACTTCAATATTTAATTTTTTCATCAGAATGAAATAGTGATCTCAAAATATTTCACCCAATGAAAAATATTTCAGTCTCATGATTATTTTTGGTTTATATCATAAAAAAAATAGATTTCTCAATCATTTCAGTGACCCATTGCCCATTTGAAATTAATAAAAACATACATTGATGGATGTAGCCGTTTGTACGTGGTAGATATGTTTTTATTTTACTTGTATTTGTAACTAGCGTTTCTGCAGTTTCGTTCTCTAATGATATTCTCAAACGTCCATCAAATGCCCTTATAGGACGAAACTGCTGTAACGTTAGTTACAAATACAAGTGATTAAAACATAGGAAGTTTCATTTCTCAATTTTCATGATAATAACATACAAGGACTATATCTCGACGCGCGTACCGCATTAACGTTATAACTCAATATTTTTTATTCAGTTTAAACATGTTTCTTAATACGTCGAGTAGGACTATGCCTCATACAAAAACTTTCAATCCGCTTATATTAACTACTATAAGTGTTTTAGTAATACATAATTTTCATTCCTTCATTATTTTAGTTCTGAGCTTATAGTATTTCCAATACCAATTGGAATAGCACAGAGAAGGAATTCCCGCCTCGACATAGGCGTCGGCGTATTATTTTTCAATGATAGTTTTTCAGTTACCCCATGAAAAAGTTATCTCAACTGAATTTTTCCACCATGGGTAATTATGAAAAACTTCGAAATTTAAGGTAGTTGATATCCGAGTTAGGTTGAATAACGATCGGATTTATGGAACCTTGCACATAATATTTGTTCTCTTCTTTTATAACATGGGCCACACAGTTCTTCCACACATCATTATTACCGACTTCATCCACCACTCGCCTTGTATTGTCAAGCACTACAGCATTCAAAGTCGGTGACTAATTACATTTCCTCAAGTTTTCTTTCATTGTGGCCCAAACCATTTCATTAGATTGAACAAACAATAGTATGGAGGCAAACGTAAGAGAATATGACCACGTGTTTCACACATCGAATCAATAATATACTCTTTTTTTAAACTACGTTGTTTTATGGTCGGCAGTATGGTCGTTGGAATCTTTTCGGGTATTTCCATATCATGATTTCGCATGAAATCAACAATATCTGCTTATTTTGTGTTATTGTTTGGTATTGTAGTCAATAACCGAGATTGATACGAAACGTTATCCATAACAATTTGTCCGCTTTTGTTGACAAATTAATTTGCAGGTAGTGGTTCCACTAGTTAATTACCGAAAAATCAATTAGGATTTTCATCATTCAACAAACAAAGTCCACATCGGACCAAAAAACTTTAGGTATATAAACAGCTAACCCTTGTCTTTAGATTCAGTATCAATTTGCTTCTCCTGAAGATGCTAACCTTGTCAGCGAAACGCGCAAAAGTATGAGTTTGGTGTTGTTTGGTGATGTTTATGACTGTAATCTTATTTTTATTGCCGTTCCAATTGGAAATGGAGAGACTATACAAAATTGTACTTGTGTTGAAATGAAGCAAATCGAACGACTCCTGATTCTTGGTCTGATTTATTGTGAAAAGCGTGAAGTAACAAATCATCCACAATTGATAATACAAATTTCTCGGAAAATTTGTTCCATATTTTGTAACACCTAATTATTTCTACATCGCTCTCAAGAATGAATCAGACACTATTACTTGGATCTGAATTTTCCATCGAGTTATACTCTTGTATGCTGATTATATGATGACAATTAACAAAATTGTTGAATACCATATATTTCTTAATATTAACATTCACTTCTAATTTCTGGCTAACTCATTCAAAAAGTTAACAAATTCTGATCGATAATTTTTCCTAATGCTGAGGTTAACGTCAATTCTCAAGTAGGGAATGTCTTCCGTTTTCGGCAATTGAGGCCAGGTGATATTCTGCAGTAGTGGATCAACTGTGGGTGTTGGATTCCTGAAAAAATTGAGAATTTTATCTATGTTTATAAAATGAATTGAGATATGAAAAAAAAATCGGATTCAATAAAGATTCAAAAACTGATAGGAATGCATTCCTATCAGTTATTGAAGATATTTTCACAAATTCTGATAAATCAATCGTACCATAATGACCGAAAAAATCAATACCATCAAAAAAATCATTATGATGTTGAAATGAAGATGTTGAAATTTTGCAGAACTGCAAATGTCCCATTCTCATATTCACAATCAGTATATTCAAATCGTGGCTCGCAATTGTCAGAATACCAATCGACCGTTTTTGAGATTCATTTGCTATTTGTATTCAGTTTTCTCTATATTCATAAACGATTAACATGACAATTTTATATTCTTTTTATATTTCAACTGGTTCTATTGGACAATGGTGTCAGCAGATGTTCCTGCAATTCTCGAATCCTATAGGTACCATTCGAGATGATGTAAACGACCAGATGATAAGTCTCTCATACCATGAAAATATGGTAAACCTGTGGTATATGACTTCATTTCCGTTGACACGGTCGCGGCTTCCCATCTAGCCGAAAGTTCTAAGTCTGCTGGAACTGCAGCTACGTCTAGAGAAAAATTTAAACGAAAAATATACCAAAATATAGGTGACAACTAACTGTTCCTTCCAGTAGCGGTTGAAACTTTTGGTGTTTATGACTCGGAGTCTCTATTATTATTATTATTCGTTCATGAACTAGAAAGGAGATTAGGCCAAGCAACGAAAAATTACCGTTCTACCTCTTTTTTGATAGAAAAAATCAGTATTGCTGTACACCGTGGTAATGCTGATTCGGTCCTTTGAACTATTCCTCCTTCACATAATTTTGATGAGATAATGTATTGGCCTTATTTCAGTACGGAACACTTCAAAACTTGTCGAGATATGTTTATATTCATCAATCTCCTATCAAGGTTAATTTGCAAGTGATTTATCCACCTTCTTCTTTTTCAGTGTAGTTTTAGAAATGGTTCTTATGCAGATTCTGTAAAACATGTTCTTCCTTACGAATCAGTAGAGCTGTCCTGAAAATCTTGAGAAGAAAATTGGATTAGATAATTTAGGAAATACTTGCTACATGAATAGCATTCTACAAGTGTTGTTCATGACGAAGAATTTCAAGAAGGAGGTTTTAATGATGAATGAGAACAAGAATGTTTCCTACTTATTCACCAAACTCAAACACCTATCCATGTAGCTGCAATTTCGTAAGAACCGATTTCCTGGAGTCTTTGAAGTCCACTAGATACTCGTTAGGACAATAAGAGAATTGTTCCGAATACTTGGAGTTCTTGTTGAATACAATTCGTGAGCAAAAAAATAGTCGAATCAATACTCCTGACCGCTCTGGATTGAATTATTCTATACAGTCTATCTCGTCTTATGTTTGTAAATCGTTTGCTGGGAAAATTCTCACTAGTTTACCTGTAGTAAATGTTCAAGAGGTAGAAAAAACGTATGGAATTTTTGGAACTTCAACTAGCGTTTCCTAATATGACTAATATAATCAGACCGTGCAAAGCTAATTGTTGAATCTTCTGAAAATAGAACTTTCAACATGTAATGATCGACTGTATCGTCAAACATGGGCCAAACTAACCGACTGTTATGAAAAACAAGTATAGCTGAGGCACCAGTCAATCTAATAATAACACTGATGATCTTCAAACATGACTCAATCTCTGACGGAAGCATCAAACTCCTACGAAGGTTCGAAATAGACGAACACTTCAATCTAGCAGACCACTATTATAATCTTCATGGAGTCATTGTTCACTGTGGTTCTGACGTTGAATCTATTATTACGCCTTGGTCACTAACTGTTCTGGCCATGTATTGAATTTGTTGGAGCCTCTGGAGACACCCTACATTTCGTTTTATGAGAGAGAGGACATTGACAGATCAAGATCTTCAAATGATGTGGTGCTGCAGGTTTTTGCAGATTTTCCTGCAGCTGAAAAAGGAAATGAGCCACTGGAATTAGTCGAGTCGCCCCAATGCGCCAAAAAAATTTTGTCGCTGTTATTTCATAATAACATGACAATCTAAATCAATGACCAATACACAGAATATCAAATTCAGAAAAAATTTCAGAAATTCAGAAAACCTTCATCCCAAATGGTATTGCTGACTTTCAAACAACTTGTTTGGATAGCATGGAGAGGGTTCCTGAGCCATTATGGTATTGGTCTTCGACGACGAATTATGTGACCTAGTGACCTAGTGGGAAAGATGGAAAATGATGCCTACATCGGTGACGCAGCGACGATGAAGCACTTACCTCCAATTCTTAAAATAACCTATGTAGTCAACTGAATCATTACCAATCTCATTTTTATCTTATACCAAAACAACTAATTCACGAATGTGAATGTACAAATTGGTCACCCAGAAAATACATAACAATCACAGTTTGTACACTATACAGAACTTACTAATGAACCAAAAATTCTAAATTGAAAAATGAATGGATTACACAAAACGATCGAATACGAGAGAAAAGAGAGAGAGGAGTCGAGCCAATTAGACAATAGAAACGAAAAACTTTCTGGACAATGACTGGGCAAAAGCCATACATTTTCAGTTGTCTGAAGCATTCCGTAATGACTTATAAAAAACTCTCAAACTTGCGATGGATATTTATATTGTCTAAAAACAAGTAAGTTATTACCTAGACTGACTGCTCGACCATACCCACTCGAAACTTTTCCTCAGATTTCTCAACTCTCACAAGTTTTTAAACTTCTGAGAGTTATCGTTCGTATGGGGGCGACAGCTGATTAACGGAAAAACAGATTTCAAAAGAGATTCAAAACCATTAAACATATGTAATCCACTCTAATAGGCACACGGACCCTGGCCCTGACTGATTTCCTTGTAAAATCTTTCAGAAAACATCCTTTCATAGCTTAGTCATCTCGCCAATGTAACTGTGTTATTTTGTTCCCAATTTATGTGTCAAAGACTACTTGATATGATACTTCATATGATAATATGATAATATGAGTTATCAATAGGCAGTGTGAAGGTTTATGTATACAATTTTACTGTTTGTACGATAGACGTTTTTGTTTTGCGTTATGATAACTTGTACTGGTTTGTTTGTTTCAGAAGTTATCAATTCTTTTGAGTTCATCGAAGCAAGCACCTGATTGATACAGGCCAAATTGAAAAAGATAAAAAATCCATGATCAAAGTAGGAATTAATTCAATGACAAAGTAAGGTGATGGTTAGTCCAGATGGATATGAAAACTCTAACATAACCGTGAGATTTACTTTGAGCTATATCTCAATGATGCTGACTTGGTTAGCAGAACGCACATCAAGAGATAGTATTTTCATTCTGATGTGAAGAAAATGTTTTCGAAAGTCTCATTGTACTCTATAGACCAAAAGCCAACTCCACAGGTGCTTAGAGTAATAACCTACTAACTCAGCAACAAGGGAATTGCTCAAGCTACATATTAACGTAACTCAAAGATATCAATATATATGAAAGTATAAAAAACTGCTTGGTTGGAGTCAAAATTCATTAATCGAGCAGAGCTCGAAAAACGTTGAATATTTCGACCTATTTTTGGGANAAATAAAAAAAATATAACCAGAAAATTAAAAACTCTTCATGAAATACTGAGATGCAGTGTCAACAATATATTGTAGGGAATCAAAATTGATATCACATAAATTTGAAATTAAATTGAAGTAATTGCAAATGATAAAGATAGGTAGGTGACTTGAAATACGAATTGGTTCTGGCTATAGTCGGCTGTAAAAAGTTTTTGTACTTCTAGTTCTAAAATGAGGCACAAAGAAACTTATAACACCTCCATAGCATCCACATTGTTGTGCAGTAAATTATACAGAACAATTATTTCAGCAAGTTTTCTGCGTAATTCAAGACTTTCAATATTGAATGTTATGGTGAGAGATTCATATGGAATACCTCTATCAGGATAGATACCATAAGACTTGAAGTAAATAAACTACAGGAAACGACGTTGAACTTTTTAAATTAATGTATTATAGCAATTGTATGATGGAGACCATAGTACAGAGCCATACTCTAATTTTGACATTACGTAGGTTACATAAAGAGTAAATAGAGCAGATATGTTTGAAAAAAATCTACAATTGCGAACTATAAAGCCATAAACCCTCAATACTTCACTAACTTTCGATCTAATGTGGTTGAAAAAAGACAAATTTTGATCAAAAAATACACCAAGATCTTCAATTGAGGTACTTCGTGACAGTGAAATGGTATCTACTCGATAATTGTACTCGATGACTGACATTTTCCTACAATAAGACACTATTCTACATTTGGATGCATTGGGATATAGTTTGTTAACTTCACACCAAGTCTGTATATTTTCTAATGTCGTTGCCATGTATTTCAGTCTTTGATAGTTTCGACACGTAAATATATTTCTGAATCGTCTGCAAAAAATAACTTATTACAATCAACATAATTACTGAGGTCATTAATAAATAATAAGAATAGAAGAGGTCCGAGAAGTCAATCAATAGTCTACTGGGATTGTTGATTATTTTCATATCTAGAAGAAATAATTCCATTTATTCAAACCATAAATAATATTTTTTTATATTGAAGCAAGTACGAGATTACGACCAAATGATTATCGCTTCAATGACATATTATCTTTTAATCAATAGTCTAATAAATTATTTTCAGCCTCAAAGCCAATTTTATAGTCTGGTTTACATGTACTTTTTTTTGTAACATTTTTCAGCCCTGTCCAAAAATTACGACCAAGGTGTCATTCGATTCGTATTTTTGCCTAGAAAGTTTAAAAGTCAACCAATTATAAAATAAAATCAATTGACAAAAATACAACTTTTGCTGAAATATATTTGGGAACTTCAATTGAGCTTTGGTAAAAAAAATTGGCACTGAAACCTAGTATCGGACGGACTCGACTTCGAACTCCTAGCGCCGGACACA